CGAGCAAAAATAACAGAACCAGTATGAAAGAAAATTAACCAAACCACTCTATATCGATATATCTAGGTTTTTAATTTTTAATTTTTTTGGCTCGATTGAGTCTATATAAGAAGTAAAATAGAGCCGGATAGTGTTCTTGCTTTAGTGCTAACGTGAGATTTTTACACAAATGACACTCAGCTATGATGATGTCCATCACTTGATGGACGAAAGCTCAGCACGTTTTTACTTGAAACGAGAAAGTCTCGTGGACTACGTCAACATGAATATCGTATAAGAGCCCAACGGCTGCAGTAGAACGAGTTTTATCCGTCCTGTGGGGAGATCGACTAACGAATTTCTTTCTCATTTACTTTCCTACGAAATGATGGTCCCCCTAACAATAAACTTTAACTATTCGTACGCGAGAATTTACCTATTTCATTATCCATAGTTCTTATAACTCAATCCTTGCTGATTTATCATCAGGGCTCTCGTGATGTTTTTTTACAAGTGATGTTTAGGTCACTAGAATTTGTCATTATTATTGCCCCACTTATTAATATTTATCAAATTTTTTTTCCTATTTTATTGAGTAGAGTGTTCCACACAATGGAGTTAATTTGAGAGTGGTCTGGCGCCGTGGCTATCCAAGTTCTACTAAGGATCTCGGGAGATTTTCCTTGGAGGTCGCACAAAAGGCTCTTTCTTTTTATAATGATTACTTTGCTATTCCATATTCCCTGCCTAAGCTTGACTTTCTTGCTGTTCCTGATTTTGCTGGTGGAGCTATGGAAAACTGGGGCCTTATAACCTTCAGGTTGGTTATTTGCTTTGCCAAATATTTCTTATCTCTTCCGGTTTTCACGTTTTCATTAATGTAAAGTCCTAATATGAACCAAATTATATCTTAGTACTTTGATATTGCAATTCAGCAAGTATTTGACATCAATATGAATAATGCAATGAACCCAATGGCCTAAATTATAAGAACATAGATTCCATATTGCCTACAACTGACTAACAGACTTTAGTTCTTTAAGATGTATTCGCCCAATTTCGTTTAAGGTGATTGAGGACTTATAGTAGAATTTTTCCCACAATGATAGGAGTAGAGCTGAAGTTTCAATTTAATTTAATATAGCCTTGATTTCCCGAAAGTTGTTCTCTTATCAACACCCACAGCGGGAGTCGAACCGTGATAGTGCAGGATGTAAGCTTGACACGTTAACCACTCGGAGAAATTGTCACGAGTGCTCTTGTGTCACAGGGCAGATGTGAATTTCAAGGAAGATCAGACCTTTTCCCATATTACATTTATTTTGGGATTGTCGATGAAGCAAACGTATTTTTGCTTTAAAAATCGACTACATTACTTATCTATCATATATAAGTATATGTACGTGTGATAAGATATAAGGTCTGGCCTTCCTTGAAATTCGTATCTGCCCTGTGACTTAAGGGCACTCGTGGCAATGTGGCTGAGTGGCTAGCATGTCATGCTCACATGCTGCAGTTTCACGGTTCGATTCCCGCTGGGGGTGTTAACAAGACCTATGCGAGGTCTAAACTGTACCTACCCTAGATAAGAACAACTTTTGGGAAAGCAAGACTATCTGAACTTTAATGGAAATGTCAGCTCTACTCATATCATTGTGGGAAAATTCTACTACCAGTCCTTCATCACCTTTAACTAAATAGGATGAGTACATCTTATATAACTGATTTACTGGTTGTCTCGAAACTCTATTTATATAAGATAAGTAGACTTTATTTCTCTTTGTGCAAGCATTTAAAATTGTTTTCTAGCGATTTCGCTCATTTTTTCCTCCGAGTGACTCGATTTTGCACGAGACTAGTCGCACCTAATTAAACCTTTGAATAAAAAAATCAAGCTGCGTTGGCAATATTCAGCTCATTATATTACATAATAGTGAATATCCTTGACTATTGTTATGTCACACTAAGTTGGAGCCAAGCTATAAAGAGGTCTCTCTCTTATTAAGGCTAAAGTAGCATTTACCGAGATCTGTTTTATGCTGATTGATCAAGCGGATGACAAAGGAATGATGGTAAAGATATGCGATTTTCTTCTACCTACCTACCTACGATATAATGACAATTAAAAGTGTTGTATCTCAATTCATTGAAAGTCCTTCTTTTTCATTACAAGCCCTTATAATTTTCACGAATCAAGGTTCGGCTCTAGCTCACGACTAGAATTTTCCAAGTTTGTGATTAATTTCTTTGATCCCAGTCATAAAAATCTGTCATTAGCATTTTTATAGTTGTTAATCTTTGACTTTGAGGTTCATCATTTAACTTCACTAATTAAATTGCTTACAAATTTGTTTTTATTAGCTCAAGACTTGGTAAATCAAGTTTTGGTGCCTAGTTTTATAATTTTAACATTTATAGTGAATTGTATTTTATTATCTTATTCATGCGAATGTTTAATTTTCCATAAATGAATGTGTGCTAATAAAAGAGAAAATTACCTCCTAATTGACTATAACAACTCGTCGGAAGCGGCTCGACTACATGCGACACTGACA